AAACAGGAGGCTTTTTAGTATTCAGTGCCTAGCTTACAACTAACTACTTTTATTGTACTTGAACCCTACAGTCATGAGATACATACAGTCATGTGATACATAAAATAATATATTATGATAATGACGATACTTAATACTTCATTATGTAGCAATATGTCACACATTATGTTAACCATATTACACACATTGTTTTACCATACATAAACCATTTATACACATTACGTTAACCGTATTACACACATTGTTTTACCATACATAAACCATTTTATATACAATACATTAACCGTATTACGGACATTCTTTTACCATACATAAACCATTTATACACATTACGTTAACCGTATTACACACATTCTTTTACCATATATAAACCATTTACACCATTACTTTAACCGTATTACACACATTGTTTTACCATACATACATTATGTTAACCGTATTAAGGACATTGTTTTACCATACATAAACCATTTATACACATTATGTTAACCGTATTACACACATTGTTATACCATACATAAACCATTTATACACATTATGTTAACCGTATTACACACATTGTTTTACCATACATAAACCATTTTATACACATTACATTAACCATGCTACACACATTGTTTTACCATACATAAACCATTCTACACATTACGTTAACCATTTTACACACATTGTTTTACCATACATAAACCATTCTACACATTACGTTAACCGTATTACACACATTGTTTTACCACACATAAACCAATTATACGCATTACGTTAACCATTTTACACACATTGTTTTACCATACATAAACCATTCATACACATTATGTTAACCGTATTACGGACATTGTTTTACCATACATAAACCAATTCTACACATTACGTTAACCATATTACACACATTGTTTTACCATACATAAACCATTCATACACATTACGTTAACCTTATTACACACATTGTTTTACCATACATAAACCATCTTATATACATTACATTAACCATGCTACACACATTGTTTTACCATACATAAACCATTCTACACACATTACATTAACCATACTGCACATTACCCATATAATGATTTTTCGAGATACTTACAACAACATATATATGTATCAATCTTTAACTGAATATTGAATCGTTGGTTTTCAATGACCGGTAGAAGCAGTTTGGTACTCAATCCGTATTCCCAGCTACACCAGCACAAGCTATCGGTGGGCGTGGTAGTACAATGCACAGATATGACGCCAATATTTTTGAGTGGTGCAACGTATCATCAACTTTATTAAAAAGAAATCATTAATTTGTTTTTCGAGTTAGTTTATTCTGTACATCTGTTCTGTTATCTATAATCGTGCATTACGAATATAATTAATAATATAACTAAGCTGGGATTAATATTTCAGCTACAATGGAGAATAAACTCCATAACATGATTAGTGTATTAAATGTAAATTAATATGGCATTGAGCTGACTTTGTTGATGAAATTGGGCTTAGGACATTGGCGCCATCCAAACTCCGAGTAACAATTTGAGCGTTATATAATCGTTACAGTGTTATTTTAAATTCCGAATTTTAAACTGTGCGAGCCGTCTGACTATTCAGCGTCGGATAACATAGATAGATACGATGGTTTATGTACTAGCGTTTGGTTTATACTTTTCAATAGTCTGTTTGCAATTTCAATATCTGCATCCATAATTACATGCATTTCTTTACTGTATGGATCGAATTGGAATGCCTCCTTATTCCGTCGATGAAACTTGCCCTCTATGTCATCTGCAACGCACCGACGACGTTCCGGGGTAAATGTGACGTTCAGAAAATTCAATATTTTCTCCAGTCCCTGCATCGGGTGTTGCGTCAGTTCTTCGTAGTGTAAAATTAAGATTCTTTTTTCGGAACTTATCCATTTGTCAATAATTCGCAGCCACTTAAAATATTGGCTGGAAAAGAAATCTGTCCACTTTTTATCTGAAATAAAGGAAAGTAAAATCTACTTAATGATCGTCATTTCAATTTTTATTTTGAAATAACAAGAGCACACCAATAGTCAATGAAAATATTCATCCGGGAGATATCGATATACGACGACGTGAAATTAAACCAATTAACAACGATGTGAATGGCAATGAAACGTGGACGAAATAATAAACATAAAACACTCACTGTTATTAAAATCATCGGCATTTTGTTTTGCCATTATGCCCTTTGTTTTGAATGTAAAAAACGATATGAGTGAGTCATATGGATTTCTGATGAGTATTATTCCACTATCAAATGTTAGAGCGAACCCGTGACATTTATAAACTAACGCCCTCCGCAATTCGGGGTCGTCGTATTCGCCAATAAATCCTATAAAATATAATAATAAATATGAAAATAAATGCTAACTATAATACAATTAACATACAAGAGCGACAAATACAAATATTATCAGATATATATGTTATTAACTTATATGTGTAAGTTTCACATTATCGATTGAAACATGGCCATGCGTATTTGTGCCAATTATTTAAAACGTGTCAATATCATTTATTGAATGTGACGATTTCTCATAGTCCCACACGCGCGATATAGAAAAAGTACAGCCAACTCACCAGCTCTATACAAACCAATTGCATTGTAAAGAGATCCAGTATATATTCCTGTGGCAAGTTCCAATAAATGACGGACCCATGTGTTCCCGGACCTTGGAAAACTGGCTAAGCCAACAAAAGGCTTAGTTTTGTTACACCAATTAACAGAACAGTTTAGTGTTTCGTTGAGTGAGTTGACAGTGCGAGCGATGTCATCGTTGATTTCGGAATCTGTACAATAACATAAACGAGTTATCCGTTTTTATAGTCGCATTTTTATACATATATTGGAATTTGATTAGGAATTCCCACACTATTCGCATACGGCATTCCACAACGTACCTGTATGGGTGATGTCAACGATCGGTGAGTCTTTCGACGCCATTTTCGGCTGTCCTTCTCGTGTATCTTTTTTTACACCATTCTTAATCCAGACACCTTTTAGTTTTCTTGCCGGAAAAATATTTGTATTAATCAGTTGTGACGTGATATAGATAACAGTAATGACGATCAACAACAGTAAACTGAACAAATGTCTCCCGTTATACATCATAAGCTGAAATGTACACAGATGTTATAATTAGTGTAATTAGTATTATATTGAAAATCGACGTTAAAATTTGAATAGTAAATAAACAAACGAACAACAAATTTGGAACATCGCATTATATGTATTTTGCGGTTTTTGCGGTGTTTACCCTCAAGTGACCCAAATTTTTTTCACTAATTACAAACAAAATAGAAAATAAACATACCTTCGAGTCAAACGAAAAGCGTTACATATAATCATATAATCGTTTTGAGTAAACGTTACGTCTTGTATATACACGATTAAACAAGATATAGAACAGGGTTTGTGTTTATGTGATCGTAGTAATCGGAATATGGTTCACGATATTACGCCATATAGGAACATTACATGTCATCTATAACCTACACGAGTAATATAACTTGCACCTGACACTCTCAGTTTAGGTATCATTTAACGTTTGCCGTACATATATATGTCACAGCTGATATGCCAATGTTAGTGCACACCATATAGACCCCCTAAGTGTCAATTTAATTTTGCCATAACAGACAATGATAACGTTTAGTCTAGTACCATTAATCAACACTTTTTGAGTGACTAATGGTGCAAATACTGGTATCTGATATGACATATCATTATACTATTACGCATACAGAATGCCCACCGTTTACATCGTATATTATGTATACTCATAGTAAATGTCAGTAATTGTTCATACAATCAAACCAAATCAAATCACAGAGGCTCAACTTCTGGGATATATTGTCTTTAATGCGTATTTCCAATACGTAAGCATGCATTACGCACATACGATTAAAAGATACACAAAAGAAATACTTACAGTATTACAGTTACTTAGAGTAACCCAAAATAATTATTTAAACATGGGCATATAAAAGTCACAAAAATAAAACATAAATTTAGTAGAATGTAAACGTATACATAACAGCTGCAGGTTGCAGTGGTACAATAATAAAAGAAGATGTTTCACCAAAACACCTCAAATGCAAGAGACTGGGATTAACAGTGACGTATATAGCCTGGACATTCAGTTATACTGCAAAAGATGATAATGACACATTTTCTACATTCAAAACGTAAATTACCGATCAGAACCTTTGGCTATTAGGACTGTAGTTTCGTTTGTGTAACATGGTGCATGCTTCGTATTATAATGTATGGATGATGTTTTTTTTTTGATATTGAATTATCTGTTGCGTGAAGCCCAAAATTCTACATTATCGAATGATATTTATTAACTTTTCGAGGGTCCTTTATGACGGCAAATCAAGAGATTTCTCATCAGTAGACAAAATAAACGATGGTGAATATTTTCATAATCTTAGGACTGTAGTTTCGTTTGTGTAACATGGTGTGTGCTTCATATTCTAATGTATGGATGATGTTTTTGATATTGAATTGTAATTGCGTAAAGGCAAATATTCTACATTAGAAATGATATTTATTAACTTAGTCCTTTATGATGGTAAATCAAGAGATTTCTTATCAGTAGACGAAATAATCTCACGCATATAATTTTCATAAGTATGTTAAGTTTTATAAATTTATGCGTACACAACATGATTGAAAAAATATTGCCAACATGATTTCGAAAGATTTCCAAAGACGTCAATGAATGGGTTGTTTTTAGAATATTTCCTTTATTATGCGAGTTTAAATATATTGATTTGGGAGTCATCTATTGATTTATGAATTTTAAACACCATTCCGAAATTTAAGTGACGCACCTACGTACATACTACTACATGATCATATTTGACCATGTTCTATTAAATGTAATTTTATAATCACTTGTTATCAATTGATATCAATCTTTCCATCTGAGTTAAAAACAACTCAATTTTATTCGGTAACATATGTTATAATATGTACTGCACATACGCGTGTTTTATTCATATATATATCGTAAACACGAATTTTATTGTCTGTATTTTGTAATGTGACTGTGTAAAGCTTTGCAACGTCAGTGGCTTGCTATAATTGGATCGGCGCCACGCAGACGGCTGGAGGTTTAGCTCCGGCACCATTGTTATAGTTTGGTGTAGGAGTAGTTAGGTCTGTGAGAAACTAGTGTGTATACTTTTGGGTGTAAGTGTGTTTTGTCTAAAGACTTTCAACATTTACAACTACCAGCCGCAGCACTGTCTGTTCAAATACTATTATTGGTCTATACTTTGTAGGTGAAGTGTTCACTATCTACTGAAAATATTTTATCAAACACATTACAGTTGCCAAGTAACGTGATCTTAACATATGTCAGTACTGTGATATAATTTTGATAACTTGTTTGTTTGATTACAGCATTTAAATCTCAAAAGGTGAATAGCAAAATAAGTACGGCTAACTGACTATTTGCAGAAGAAATAAAAACAAGATAAAATCTACCAAGCTGAGCTACTGCATCAACAATGAGTATATTTCTACGCAAGAAGGCAGCGGGAAAACTTATTATCATGTCTTTACTGTGTCTCATGCTTTTTATGGCTATTGTACTCAAGAATGGCGGTCATGTAACAACGACAACGTCAAATCCCCTAACCAATTACAACAACACAACATCGATTGTGTCAACTATAAACTATGAAGGAATTGTCACCCTGCAAGATATGGAAGAAGCTATGGAGCTGTACACAACGAATTCATTTCCGTTTCCATTCATTGCAAATCCCATCAGTCGATGCCAAATATCACCGTTTCTCACAATGATAACTCCGAGCAGTCCGGAAGAGTTTGTCGCACGTGAATTCGCCCGTAAATACAGGGGCAACGTTCAAGATGTTCTGCAACATGAGATAATACATTTATTTATCATTGGGAAACCAACAGAAAATAAAAACGTTGTAACTGCTAAGCTTCTGAACGAGAGCCATTCATATGGAGATATAATTCTTATTGACGTTTTAGACTCTTACAAAAACCTCACTCTAAAGACAATAATGATGCTCAAATGGATCTCAAACTATTGCTCGAGGACTAAATATTTGCTAAAAGTTGACAATGATGTCTTAGTAAATTTAATCAACTTGATCAGGCTTTTGGAATCAGCGCCAAGTAGTAGTTTCGTAACTGGGAAGGTAAGTGAACATCCATTCGCATTTCGAAGACTAACGGTGAAGAATCCAGTGACAAAAGAAGAATGGCCATTGACTAATTACCCGCCAGTTGCCGTGGGTACATCTTATGTTATATCAGGTGATGTTGTGAAAAAATTGTATCAGGCATCTCTTTATACTAAATTGTTGAATATTGAGGATGTCTACGTTGGAATTCTTCTCTCAGTTATTGGCGTAAGACCACAACATAATGAGGGATTTAGAGTGCCAGCAGAAAGAGCGTGCCTACCCAAATGTTGTCGGTATGATGCGATAACATATCATTTTGATGGTAGTGACAATCTCATTGAACACTACAGAGAAGTAAAGCTGTTGAACCTAACAGGTCATTGCATGTAACTTAATAAAGTCTAACTATACTGACCAAACTGCGTTGCTGGTGTATGTTTTGTTATTTGCGAACATATGTTCATAGCATAGCCAATCTGTGAATATGTCGTATACAAATATATACAAGTCAAAAACAGAAAGAAAAAAAAACGTTTAACAGGAACAGTACATCGGATAACACAAGAACACGCTGCGATTAACTATAAATATTGTATTTATTTTTTCCAATTTTCTATTTATTTTGCATCTGAAAATTACTGTTCAGTTGACTAATTGAATTGTAAAGTTATTATCCCCCTTCAGTGTTCTTCTTCGACAGGTGGTGGTCAGCTTTGCTGTAAGCCGGTGCCATAAGGGTATTTTTTTCATTTATCACGGTGCTTTGAAATATTGATTATTAATGTTCGACATGTGCAACAGTCGTCAATGTATCTTAACTCATCATCTATGAGGGCGTGACGTCATAGTCACGCGAAAACCATTGCTATGGCTCTAATGACGTAGATTGTTGGTGCCCGGGGTTTTACTATGCAGGATATGCGATTGTTCATTAATGTTGATGTTTTTGTAATCATGATCACCGGTGTCCAACCTTAATATTGTATTTACTTTTTTGTTGGTGATTTGAAAAATGTATTTAATTTTTATACAAATATATCTTTAAACTGACGCAAGAGTGTAAGGCGATTTTCACTCATTTCAAATACACAGCCATGTGTGTCACTTAAATTGTTATTAATTATAAAAAAAGCAGCAGAATGGATAAATTGCGCGTTACGTCACAAAGCCCTTGCACGAGTTTTTCATAAAAATTATGGAGACTATAACGCTTGGATACCAAAATAGCCATTAAATTCTAAGCAAATACGTTCGAAATGATGATGGGGGTAAAAGACTTTTATATTTGTATAGCTGATTTGTTTTCGAAAACTGGTCCTAATTCAAAAAGTATACCATACTAGTGTATATACTATTTATAAAACAATGGCTAAACGTTTGTAATGTGGTATTGGTATTTTAAAAATGCCCAAATTGTTATTTACAGTAACGTAGCAGAAAATTGTGTTAGGAGTGTTGACTCATATATTTTCTATTATCATTTTTAATTCGTATAAAGCCTTATTTCGTAAAAACCTCAGCAAAATACAAAAATCACGGGACTGAAATTTTGTCCAACAGTTTTCTAGTTTGAAATAAGAAATATAACTACAGTACGCACTATGCCAGTCGTCTTCTTACGTCCTCACTATCGTAGTAGTATTGATAGAATACTGACTGAAGATTGAAGTTTTTAATTATCTGTACGTATTGGTTAATCGAGGACGCATGCGCATCAGTATTTCATTGAACGATTTCCTGTATTTCATTGAACGATCACCGTCATGTTTGTCAAAACACTTGTTTTTTGTTATACAGAATCGAAACAATAAATATTCAATTATACGAGGTATGTCAATTTATGATCAAATCCACACACACATGCGGCTAATTAGAAATGAATCAGTTATGGATGTTTCAGAGGAGGCGGCACAAAATTTTGCGTGAGGGTGCGAGATACAAAATCTAGACCCTCTGAAACGCTATTTCCTGCATCTTGAGGGGCAGACGCCCAACATTTTTTTCGAACATTTCCATTCAAAAATTCGTCTTGGAAGTCACTCAAAAATGGTTGTGGATATTGTACGATACCGACACAGCTGGTAAATATCCAGGGAATTTACTAATAAATAGTTCGTGATAATTAGCATACAGTATAATACTAGACAACAAAAAGTTGAGTTTAAATAAATGATTTATTTTAAAATTGAAACACGTATACATTACATCACTAACACATTCAATGAATTTGTTTGTGTTTAATGAAGGGATTAACCGGTATACGCTGTGGTTGCTCATACCAATGACTGCATGTATCATTCGATCCAATCGTTGTTGTCTGGCCATAGTAAATATATCTGGCAAGTTCACCCACAGTGTTGTTCATTGTCTTTATATTTTCCCGATCGACCAACGGGAAACCGAATCGTCGTCGTTCCCGGAAATAAAATAATATACTGTAACGCGGTTTGTTCCAATCCATTGGGTGCAAATAAAGCTCCGTCCAATTGTCTGATTTAAGAGTTCCGTATTCAATGTGAACTGATTCTGGGTGTTCTGAGACAAGACGGGCTAGTGCTTCTGTAGCATAACACAGAAAACAACCTGGCTTATAATTTTTATAGTTTTCGTAATAGAGATTCATAATGAGCGAAGTATTGCGAGTAAAAAACATGCTGCTGCAGATCATTCCGCCGCCACAATAATTCACTACGAAATCGTAATAAAATAGGTGATCTACCGGGCGTATAAACCAGAAGTCTAAATCGCAATAGAATCCTCCGTACGTAACAAGCACTTTGCTACGAAGAACATCACTCATGTGCCATGCATTTGAAACGGTTTGGTTGAATACAGTGTCCGGTGTTGGCCATTTTATCACTTCTAATATCGGAATGCGTTTCGCCTCCTCCCAATATTGGTTATTTTGTGGCTCGTTGTCGGTGTGGAATAACATACGATATGGTTTCATAACTCTGTATACGCTGATCAAACACACTAGATGATAGAACTGAAACTTCAGATTTCCTACCAGAGTAAAATGAGCAATTTTTGGTACCACTGGTTGCGAGTGTGGCTTCAACGTACCAATTGGTTTCGTTGTCGTTAGTTTACTGTAATGACTGGCCAAGTTTAATAATGAATTGAATTTTTCATCCGACGCAGTGTATACAATAATAAAGAGGAGAGCAGATATCGTCGTGATTATGATAAGTTTTCGTCGCCGAATATTCATCATGATATTACTAGTCGTTTATCCGGAAGGCTAACAAAATAAATAAAACATATAGATTCAATAGTCGTATTATACGATGTTCGGCAAACAGAACCAATTAACTCAAATCGAACTCAATTACGATATGGAATAATAATGACTAGGTTGATAATAACATAACAAATAACATAAAAACAAAAAACAAATGTAACATTATTGAACAAACTCACGTCCTTTGATAAACCAGACTATTAGATATATCAACCATTGACAACAGTTGGCTTAATTCTAGAGATGCATCGAAACGTCATACATGCATTAGAACGAAATATCAAATGTAATGGCCGAAATTGCATTATGTTATTTGTCACGCATCGATAAATGCCTATTTTGATATAGTTCTCACAAAAGTGGCAGACGTGTTCTTTGCTAATCCACCTTCTAGCTTTTCAAACAGCGGTGACTATGGTTATTATTTTAAACCGATTTACAAAGGCACACTCCGCCCTCGGCTCAGACATTCTGACGCACATGGCATGCAACTAATTTATAATAGATGACTTTGGTATTCAAAGCCTGGGATCTGTCACATATGCTATTTTAGTAGACTAAATCAAATTATTTAAAAGATTACATTTTATGAGATCAAAGGGCATTTTGTAGTTGATTTTTAGAACATGACCATTTAACCTAATTTGAAAGTGAAGAATTCCATGGTGGATAGTATAGCCATATATAGCACTGTTTTCTGGTCATTTCGAGATTGAACGAAGAACTACTGTCATTAATTGAATATACCGTTCATTATTCGTCCCAATATAACAGTGACAGTCTTCTCAACATTCTACATGTTTATTAATGAATAATTTTATAAACGCCATTGTAATCTAATTATCCAAAAGAACACGAATTGCGTCTTGTAACGAATTGCTGTGATTATTATTAAATGGTTAAGTCTACATAAAATGTGATAGCATAACAAACGAAGGAATTCGAAAATCGCATTTTGTCATGTGATATGTAGAACAAAGCACAGAATTCAGCCATTTTGTTCTATGTCACCAAATACTGTTCCAACGACTTCAATGGTGTGATGGAGTTTGTGTATTTTTTTTTCGTTCCCGTCGCATTGTCATTAGTCATAAAGCCATGACTAGTCGTGCAACAATAATAAAAGACACATATATAATATACAAACATTCAAATTTGTCGTTTGATATATTTATTAGACAGCACAGTGCTATCAATTGCACAATCTATTCACATTTATACTTTACAATTACTTTGTTTAAAAAAACAATCACTTTAAACAGTGACTGATAATACTGGCACAGATTTTGATTGGTGAAACTTCGGTAACTCATTAGTAGTGCACAGTTATATGTGAATATGTTTTCATGCATTCAGTCAACATACATGTTTTCCCCAATTGTTTTCTCATCTTCCATTCTTTGAATTGCTAAGCCATTCGATGTTTAATCAGTCTAAGAGTAGTAGCTAAATTTTACCATATTAAAAAATCCCCCAATACAATGTTAGAATGTATTTGCATGTGATGAGGGCGAGTCCTTATCAATTGTATTGACAGCGTTTTGAGCAATTAATTTCAACCAGACTTTAAGCTAAATATGACATTCTGGTCGTCTATTGCAAAATATACATTTTATACAACAGAAATTACTAGCATCTAAGATTTTATTCCAATTACCGTTTCAGCAAAATAATGTCCATTACTATTAACGTCCATTACTATGTTTATTTTTAGTGGCATGCCCCCCCAGAAACGGTCGGAACTAACTGCAATAACAAACGGTAAAACAATTACTATGACATCATTGCTTCGCTGAATATTTAAATATTCTTTTTAATAAACACTGGTGGTGAATCATGCTTGATAGTATCAATTAACAAGATATTTTTTCTCAGTTCGAGACCTCAGTCCTCTAAAACAAACTGATTGATCAGCCAATCTAGGAGGAGTTTTCCTTTCAATGGCAAGAAATAGGTATACAAAGCAGAATATACTACGTTAAATAATTCTGTCAACAAAGATGCTGCTCTCTAACTGGTCTGACTAAACTGGTGTTAAATTGGGTGGCCAATCAGATATAATCCTGTAAGTAACCTGCATTGACTCAGAGAAATTCCCTTTTAGTAAAACGGTGCTTTCAAGAAAAAGATAGTTTAAGTTAACCAGGTAATAATCATTTGAGATATTTTTGCCAGATGATTGATGACTTTTGCTTCACCAGGGTGTTCACATGTTCAAATAGTGTTCCTTCAAATCACATATTCCAGCTGCTCTTTTCCACCAAGTTGAGGGTGCAGTCTTTCAACTGATGATACGAAATCCTGCTGATTCCGGCGTTGAAAGTCCAGGAATAGTTCTGTTATTGAGTCCGGATCAGAAGATCTTTAAAGCAAGCTGATTGGTGAATTTGGTTCACCTGAAGTTTCCCATAATACTGACGCTAGATTCTGACAGTGATTAATGGCAAACTGCACTGGTACAACGCCAACATGCATACACATTAGCTCATAGCAATGAACCGATTTAATGGGTGCATTTGGAAAGCACTGTCTGGTGAGTTTACTGTGAAAAGAACAATAACAGTTATTTACCACGATAGTTGCTCCAAATATAATATAATCAGGGTTTATATGGATCAGTGATATGCAATGCGAAATGGTCCCAAAATCGTATACAATTTTAGAAACTCAACGAAAATGAACGAGGCCATCAGAGAACTGACTACTATACATCTCAGATCATTGACAATGTCCTTGCATTTTTGAAAAGTGCGTAATATGTGTGCTTTGTAATTTTGAATGTTGCAATAATCTCACTCATTTCTGTTTACACAATCTACAGCATTCTGTGATGCTTGACTAAAATGGTTCGCTTTCGAAAGATCACAAGGAGATCGTGAGATCCTTAATACATTATAATACACTATTTACTACACAAACCTGACATGCCAGAATCTTGACAATGATTTCATCCCACTTTATAAACCTATCAATATTATAATTCAATACATCGCTCAACATAAAAAAGGAGGGCAATAAAGGTAATTTCATATGTCATTGAAAATTCTCTCCTAGCCTTACCTGTAGAAATGAGACGCAATGATACCAGGACCGAATTCAAATGATGCTAATCTTGGTGCTTGTTGAATTGGAAGCGGATTACCCTGTGAACCAAAAGTCTAATACTATTCATTAAATAAATTTTGTGAGAAAAAAAAATTCGAAAAAAATCTAAAAAACGAGAATTCAAGCAACAGAAAATCATAGCAATTTGTCTCACACATCTGTTGATGCGATAAGATACTGTTTTCGTGTACACGCCGCGGTATTGTTGTGATAACGTCATAGTATTTCTTGAAATGACGTTTTTTGTGATTTTATTAATCATCTCACAATGCTGTACAAAATGTGTAGCAAGACACATATATAAAATATACACAAACATTCAAATTTGTCTTTTGATATATTTATTAGACAGTACAATAAGTATGCGATCTTCATCACATTCATCATTTGAGACATCATTGTGTGTTTGTTTTCAATTCGATCTACACTTATGTAAAGCAATATACAGTGTTTTAGTAAGGAATATGATATAGACTGGGCCTGTCAATCCATTACCACGGTCCACAGATAATTACCTTAAAATGTGATTCTGTTATGTTATTTTTCCATTTTACATTCTGTTTACAGTTATAAATATTAAAATTATGAAATTCATAAAGTCAAAATTGCAGTTGAAAATAATTCCACCATTTTTCGATTTTGATGTCACCAATACAAAAACAATTAAATTTGAAAATGTCCTTGGCATCGTTCAATCAGTCTCGCACATAGAAGGCAAAACAAACATTACCCAAATATCACAACCTCTCATTTGAATTACAAATTTGTATAAATTATTTGGGCGACATTAACAGTTAACAACATCCATGGCTAATCTGAAATGAGTGCATCATCTTAATTGAACAATTTCATACTTACACTGTTATCCTCAAACCATATGAAGTATGAATAATGATAATCACCATCTCTTTTCGTCATGGAAATAAACCCTTTCTGTAAATAACGATGTGAATCTCTAACCATTTGCCAAATCTAAACAGAACAAAAATGTTGTTACAAAAAAAGAAGACATAGATTTAATAAAATTAGATATGTTCTGGATGAGGTGCTATGAATACATACATACATACATACAATAGGATGTATATTGTTCATAGAATCGGCCCTGATTATTTTATTCACTCTGTTTTATAGAAATGTTAGAAATTCTTTGCTACTCTCATAGTTTTGAGCAAGTTAGGGACGTTAGTCATTCTTTGCTACGAAGGAAATCAAACATAAAAAGCAGAACAAAGGTCATAGCATTTAGTAGTGTATTTCACATTTGATGATGATCAATTTTAATGAGGTAAGGGTATCTTACTGCAATGCAATAGGATGTATATTGTTTATAGAGTTGGCCCTGATTATTTTATTCACTCTGTTTTATAGAAATGTTAGACATTCTTTGCTACTCTCATAGTTTTGAGCATGTTACAATGAAAGACAATTTAATGCATACTAATTATAATTCGTAGTCTAATAACACCACGTAGTAGAATATTAATATTCATGATTCCACATGTTTATATTAGCAATTGTAGATTGAAATGAGCATAACATGGTTAATATACAATTAATTAGTTTTTCAGTTTTGTTGTTTTCTCTTGTTTGTCTTCTCATTTTGTTTGTTTGTCTTTACATTACCAGAATGCGTTCAAGAATTCCTGGCAAAGGTCATAGCATTTAGTAGCGTCAAAACATCATATAGGATTTACGAAATACAAACGAACTTTGTGGGTATTCCCACACATTTGATGATGGTCAATTTTGATGAATTAAGGGTATCTAAATGCCATACTCTCTTCCGAAAGATAGGCATTTAGACATTAAGCTATAAAAAAGAAATGTTAAAACATCAAATTATTTGATTTTTGCAGCAGACGAATTCAGTGAATGGCATGAAACCTATTTACACTAATTGACAGTATGACAGGCTGTGTGTTCACGCATATACATGTAACCTCAGATATAATGCTGTATTCAAATATATCGCATAACTCACCTTGCTTTTTAACAACTGCGTCGGATCACTGTCATCTTTCGAAGTATCACAACTACTATTGAGCGAGGGTGCTGTTAAGACATCCACAGTTCTATCAACATAGATAAAATGAACCAATCCAGGAAAGTCTTCCATATAGGCTGTCATGGTTACATTACGTTGACCTTTGACCGATAAGTAATCTTTATAGTGGCACAATTTTCCTTTGATTGTATATTCAATATCTGTCATGATTAGATTGTATTTTCTCAGCGCTGCGCAGCTCCTCTGACGTGGCGATAAAAAACGCAGACGGAATATATATTTCAAATACTTGATCAGTTCTGATATAGAATTTTCCAACCTACAAAGTAGAAATAACTGTTCATTGCCATTTGCATTACGAATAAAATAAGTCATTGTTAATGACACAGTCCTTGTTGGAATTGGGGCAAATGTTATTCATGCCAAAAATAAAGTAATGTGCATAGTTAGTAATTGAGAGTGAAGAATTGGCTGGTCTAGTATCCACTGAAATTAGATGTTATAAATAACTCTTTCAAAATTGAAATATATGGTCAGAAATTAAACAGGATATTTACTCATTCATTTTTTGTATCCAAACTGAATTTCATTTGTCCAAGCACATGTACATTTTGTACAGAGATACAGTAGTATATGGTCAAAAAGCAAGATTGTAGGCTGTCAACCATCTTTGATTGATTGTGAAACTAATTGTCATGGACATGTATTCTAAAGTGTATAATTTGAAGAGGAAAAAAAAAACAATACATTTATTAAAAAAAAAGATGGCCGCCAGTTGGTCATTTGGGATTTGAACATAAAACGAATCATCAGGGACATGTATCTCAACATGTATAATGTTTGTATCAAATTTGAACAAAAACCAACAAATCCTGTCCAAGATACTAAATGGCTGCCAGTAAGTCATCTTGGATTGAATCAGTAAACCACTGCAAGTGCATATATCCCCGATAAAGTACTAAACACATGCATAAATAAACAGATTTGGACCACAGGGTTCTGTAATATATGACTCCAGATGGACGAAACGACAGAGAAAAAATTATAAGGTTTTGGACTCCGTTCGAACAGGGGCTAATTAACTACCTTGTTAGTTCCTTTCATGTGACTACAATGCAGGCAACTATCTCCAAATGTCGGTCTTAATGTATGAGTAACATTAGCATTTGTTACAAGACATTATGTTGATATCAGATAATACCCCAACCATAGTACAGACTAAACATATACACACATATATGTAGCAAACCATACACCACACATATACTAATACTGTATATGCACCATCACATATGTACCACATTGACACCATACATACATTAACACACATGTGCAGCATATGTGCACCAAACCCCTTAAACTGGCACATATGCACCACACTTACACAATACATACATTTTTGTACACCGCAT